CGCGCTTCTCCCGCCGCTGTGCGGGGCTTACTGCGCTTCGTAGCCGGGGAACCCGTAAACAAGGGGCAGCGGGTACCGAGCCGGGGGCTGCCGCTTCCTTCCAGCGGGGCATTTTGGGTTCGGGTGGGTGTTTTTGAGGATGTGTTGCCCCTCGGCTGCTAGCAGTGTTTTGTTCGGGTTTTTTCCTCCCCTGTGTTTTGGCACCTTCTGACCCCCGGGGCTGAGCAGCTCCGGTGCCCTGGCTGCGGTGCCATCCACCCCCGTGTATGAAAGGGGGGTAGCCTTGTCCCCGTGTTGCGCTTGGAGCCTGGAGATGGGCGCCAGATTTTGTACTCACATGCTTCCTTGTAAATAAATATTCAGTAGTGCAACTGAAAGGAATGGCACGGTACCAGAGGTTTACCGGCAGTCTGGATGAAAGCCCATCAGTCTTTTTGGCACGGGAATCTTTTTTTTCTTACTTTAGAAACCTGACGTGGGAGCGAGTGAGTTCAAGTGACTGTGCTGCATCTAGTCAGTGCGTTCTGCAGCTCTTGCTCCTTTGCGTTAGTGGATGGTTACTGCAGACGGTGGCCAGTGTATATATTGCTTTATAAGTTGTTCTCGCTAAAAGCAATGTCCCACTTGCAAAGTGAGTATGAATACAGCTGATGGAAACCAGCTCACCAGCTCTCTGCCCAGACTGATTTGATGTGCTGCTGGTAGTAGCGTGTTTTGCTGATCGCTCAGCTGTGATCCTGTTTCACCTGTTTCCTGTGTCTATCTGTGTACTAATATATGTACTTTTATTAGGGGAATTTTGCATGCAGTTTCTGTGCTTATTTGCCCTGATATGAACATGCTCACACCAATACAACGGTGCCTGTCTCCACAGGTGCATTTTGTTAAAGCAAAAACTGGGTGGAGCAGCTCGTATCATTGTGTAACTCCAGGTCAGCAGAGCCTTGAAGCATCTGCTTAATATTAAGCATGTAAATAGTGGCATGAAATCTGTCAGAGCAAATTCCCGAAGTTGAGAATACGCTGAGAGATCTTCCAGCAGTGGGAGCTGGGGGTGGTGCACTCCTTCCCCCACAGAGCCTCTGGTAGCAGGCAAGGCGTCAGAAACGCGTGCCGCAAGCGGCCAGCAGCGAGAAGCCCCTAAACGCCCAGGCTGACCGTTTGCTGGAAGCAGCAGTTGCAAGGAAAAGAAATCAAATAGCTCTGGGAGGTTCAAATCATGATGATACTTGCAACTCAATGTGGTGCATGAAATGTGGCCACACAGAGGAACCTCTTCTGTCTCGTTTATATTTAGGTGATAGGAATTACTGACACAGAAGAGCTTCCGGTTTTTATTCCGTTGCATTGTTTTTCTGAATCAACACCAGGAGGACAAAACCCTGTCCCAGCTTGTCAGCCTGGTACTTTCTCACTACAAAGGAAGTAATTTGGTTGATTTTTGTATCCAGAGAGTACCGCCATCCAGGTCAAACTGCTACTCCGGCTGTAAAGCAGCAAGGCACATTGCAGTGGTGTGGTGGGAACACGGCTCGGGTTGTAGCCTCCCAGCCAAGTGGGATGGACTCCTGCGAGGAGTTGTTCAGCATGTGGAGGCGCAGGAGTAGCCAACGCAGTGCTCTCTCCGCATTCCTCTCCGTGTAGCCAAACCAGAGCCTGAGTCAGCGAAGCCACACTTGCAGGAGTGCAAGCACGGCTCTGTGGTTGTGGCCAGGGCTGGGCAGCACAACGTATGTTTTTAAGCCCTGCCTCTGCCTGTGGCTTCCTGTCCTGAACAAGCCATTTAACCTCTCTTCATCATGGTTACTTAGCCTGTAAAGGAGAGAAATTACACATTTCAGGGAGTATCAACAGGGTTAATTCCATAGCTCATGTGGCATGCATAGAGAGAAGTCACAGAAAGAACACCCATGGGCCATCTCTTGCAGATCCCTAAAAGACAGCTGTGAAAAGCAAGTCCACAGCTATGACTGGCTAAGTCTGCAGACTTTTAACGGGGTCTGCAGTTTTGATGGGAAACGTGTACAGATCCCAAAAAGAAAAAAAAAAAAATGGAAACCACTGCTTTTAAGATGAGAAGATGAATGGCTTGCAGAGTATTTCTGAGAGTTCAAAACAAGAAGCTGCATTTGAACTGAACAGGGTGACACCAGAATTAAGGCTTTAGCCCATGTTTGAGTGCCTTAATGCCTTAGAGCCTTATATGCCAATGTGCTGCGGTGGTTTGTGTCCCTTAAACCAACATAAAGCATCCAGAGTTGGATCCCCTCTCCAGCCCCAACTTCAAGAGCACCTCCCAGCACAGCCTTGATTCCTTGTCCAGTGACAGGGACGAGGCAGCCCAGCACCCATCCTCTTTAGAACCATCAGCCGCTGTCCTGTTGCATCTGTGGAGTTTTCTCACAAGACCAGTATTCATAATGGGACAAGGTCTTCTGCTCCAGTTGCACGGAAAGGACTCGGCACAGGGTAACACTGCAACATGAGATCCCAGTTGTCTCAGACCTTGTTTGCATTGGCCACGGCTGTTTTCTCAGAGAAACTTCGCTCCGATTTGTAGCTTCACAATTTGACTTTAACACATTTTGCAGCACTGAAAGGGCCCTGACACAAGAGCTGTCAGCCCTCTCCCAGGCTGAACCTGGCCAGCAGTTCCCATTTTGCTGCAGAGTTTTGCTTTTCTTTCATTCTTGGTTCTATCACAACTTTCTTTGACCGTATGCCTCCCCTCCACGTGTTCACCTTCAGTTTTGGACAGGGCAGTAGTCCACAGTCACCAGAGAAGAGGTGGCCAGTGCTGGTGCAGGAGGGGAACCACAGCCTTAGCAGGCTTGAGGACTTCTGAGTGCTGTTAAAAGAGTCAACCGTCCCTTGCACTGCACAGTAGAACTCCTGAGCTGTCCTGCAGTGTAACCTCCACATCTGCATCACACAGAGTGTCTGCTGACTATGGACTGTGGCAGCCCCTCTGCAGCACACCCTGCTCCCCAGGCTGTGTCTTGCATTGGCCCCTCTTCACCATCCACATCCCTACATGAAAGGCTGTAACAAGTGTGTCACGTTTCTGAGCTAGCCTCTGTACTTGTGCTAACATTCATTTCATAATTGTACTCCACCACAAGGCTCTTCATAACAGACTGGAGAAGAGAACCTCATTTATTTGAGGCTCTGGAGATCAGGGACTTGGTTTACTCCAGCCAGTGCTACATCCCTGCAGCAGGGGGGAGGTTTCTGCAGACCAGGACGTTGCAAGTCTGTGCGTGCTGGTGTGCCAGTGTCAGGGGCTCTGCTGGTGGCATTAGAGTTGAGGGGTGGGGGGGAATGATGAAGCAGTTTTGTACAGCTGTCAAAGCATGGGGAAACCTAACCTGTGGGTTTTGATAATTCTTGAGGACAATTGGAGAGGAAACATTTAGCTCTTATTTTTCCTGGTTTTATCTCCACTCAGCTAATCGCTGAGTAACATTCTTCTCTCCAGGGCACTAGGCAGCCCTCTCTGAGCCTCACAACTCCCCTTTCCCATACCACGTGGCAAGTCCATCTATATCTGTTTACAAGTGGGGAAATCAAGGTACCTGAAGAGTTTCTCCCGCATTCTCTAATGCAGCCATTGACCCTGTGGATCTTTAATTGTCACCTGCATCCTAATGTTTGAGAGCCACCATCCAGAGCCAGAGGTAGTGGAGGGTGTGAGGACTCAACCTCAGGTGTCTCAGCATGTGGTGAGACAGAGGATTCACACGTGCTTTGGCATTGGTGACTCCCCTGGGACATGCAGGTCAGCGTCAGCTCAGCCAAACCCAGGAATACAGTCTGAACTGGACAAACTGGATGGTCTTTACTGCTAGTCCTCTGGAGCTTGCAAACTTGAGGAGTTATTTAAAGTAAATGCTCTCCTGGCTTGATTAACTATTTATTGCTGTTCTCTAAGCATTTTTCCCGTTAGCCCAAGGGTGCCTGCAGTAAAGACAGCAGCTTTTACTGCGAGAGGTTCTGCTGGAGAAAACAATCCGAGGAAACCTTCGTGTAACCCCGGTTCATTCTTTTCTCCTCTCTAGGGCATCTGTGACCAGGAGGACTTTTGGGCATAGTGGCATCGCTGTGCATACATGGTACGCCTGTCCAGCACTAATAAAGTCTATCTGGGCTATGGCCATTAGTCAACATCAGTTCTACCTGGACAGAAAGCAAAGCAAGGTAAGCAGGTTGGAGGTGGGAAGTGCATGTTGCGGTGGGTAAGTCCTCCTCACTCCCCACGATCTCAGCAAGGTCAAGTCCAGATGGTGGCTGCTTTCGGGCTCTCCCTTTCCACTTGAGATCAAAAAAGGCAAATTGACTCAAAATACCTGCTGGCTTTGGCCAGATTGGAGGCATTTGTATCGAGTTCATGTCTATGGGAGTGGGGATTGAGGGAAAGGTACTGAACTGTGGCCAAACTGGAGGAGCCAAAGTTTGCAAGCAGATAGGGTCGTGTCTCTGGATGGTTTCCACATGTCTTCTGGTTCTTGAGGTGTGTCATAAAGTTAGAGCAGTTTCCAATAACGGAGTTCAAAGTTGCAAAGTTCACACTCTACACCTGTTTCTGAATCCTTCTTGCTGTCCCTTGCTTTTTGCTATCATATTTTCCTAGAAATGAGCGGTAGGGATATTATTTCTCTCTCCACACAGACTCTCACAACAGAAGGGGGGGGAGCAGGATGCTGACAGCCTGGCCTTACAAGGAACTGCCTTGATCTGATGCTGCACAAAGGGCTGCTCAATACACAAAAGAAACCACCTTGAAACCAGAGGAGAGTGTGTTTTCCCTCTAATTCCATTCATCAGCAGTAATTTTAGGCATGCCCAGAGCAGCAGGAGATTGCTTTGATCACTACGAGACCACTTTAAGACAGAAGAGAGACTTCTCATGCAGATGCCCTTCTCCATATGAGCATGCTGGTGTAAAACTTCACAGAGAAGGTGGAGTTTGTATTGAGTGGGTACCTTCTTATACAGCTGCCTACATCTCTGGTGAGATGGCAGGAACGTGCAGGGTGATGCTCTTCCAAATGGATGAAACAATCTAAACATCTTGCTCTTGCTGAAACCACCGCTCGCATTTTCAAGCAGGGGCTGCTCCCTCCCTTGCACAGGCCCTGGCCCTATCAGATCCCTTCATGAGCCAGTTCAGCCCACTAAACTGGCAGAAGAATGTTTCTTTTCCCTGTTTTTCTTTGCTGCATTATTTTTCTGACAGTTAAATGAATTGGACTGGCTTGCTGAAATTATGTGAAGGGCCGTCAATGTGCTGTTAGTCCAGCTCACTCTAAATCCTGACATCGCTTTCCCCATCATGATCTCTGTGACTTTATTGTAGAGTGGGTAGGACTTTTGGATGCCTTGGGCAGAACACATGGTTACACTCACTTTGGCCATGTCCCATCAAATGCAAAAAACCGGGATCATCTTAAGTTTCTGTGAGCTGTATTGAATTTAGGGGCGTAGCTAACAGCCTGAGTGCCGGCTGTGAATATGGACAAAATTGCAGGCTCACCCGATACCAAGTCATGCTTTCCTGTCCCCCTCCTCTGCTCAGCACCACCAGGGCAATGCATAGCCCTCTCTGTTTTGCTCTCAACAAAACCAACTCGGCAAACAAACAGAAGTTTATTTTTCTCACTTTTAGCCAGATGGTTTTGTGGATCTAGCTGTAAGGTATTTAGGTCACAAGCAACCAACAAACAAAAGGAGATTCCCTCCTCCTTCCATTTCTTTGGTAAAAAACTGGGTCTCTTAAATACCCAGGACTTCCCTTCAGTGACTTCTTTTGTTGTTGGCAGATTGTGTTTCAATCCGGTCTCCCCTCTCTCACACTCCTACAGACAGCACCACCCACTAGCCCTCGTTTGTCAATCTGTCACGTCTGTGACCATGTCAGTGTGCACAATAATCCTGGTGGTCACGCTGAGATTTTGAAGTTAAGGCATACAAATATTTTTGTCCCTTTCTCTTTAGAGAGCTGATATTTTACTCTGTGTCCTCGTCTTTGATGTGAAACTGTCAAGATTGATAGATCCATCAATTTTAATTGATCTGTTCAGTTCATCCTGCTGGTCACTTCAGCACACTGCGCTCATAGGCGCTTCGTTTTGAAAACCAGTAAAACCTATTCCAGAGTGGAGTGATGTGAAATGTCTTCGTTTCAGCTCTCAGGGGCTTGGACAAACATACGTTTGAGTTTCAGGTCATGTGGGTTTGCATGCCCTTAAATCTCAGCCCCCACTTCAGTTGAATCCCCAACTTCAAAGCAAAACTTAGATATTCCTTCCTTTCATGTCCAAACTTGGCATTTCATATCGTTTTGCAAAAGAAAGAAAAATAAAAACAAACTTAGAAGAAAAAGCCTGCTGGAGCTCACTGCAGCTGAACCTTCACTCCAGTGTTGTAGATTAGATGGCAGGAGATACGACATAGTGATAAAGCAATCTTGAACACTGTGCTCCTCACACAACTGGGCACCAGTGTGATCTCTTGAACACTGTGCTCCTCACGTAACTGGGCACCAGTTGGATCTGGACCTTCTGCACAGCTCCACTGGAAAACCCCCTTCACACAATTTTAAAAAGAAAGAAAATCAGCTTTGCCTGGATTTTGACTGTTTTCCAAGGAAGCGAGGTCCTAGCCTTCTTTGCAGCCTCACTCCACGTTGAACTCCTGCCAGCTCACTGAGTTCCCAGCATCTCGCTCCCCGCTGATCTGTCTCTCTCCCTGCAATCAAAGCGTAACATGGAGACTGAAAAGATCCTCAGCTTTCCAAGTGAACATGTCAGCATGCAGAACTCCTGTCAGCTTCCCTTTTTTTCAGGAGACAGATGCAGCAGGACTTCAAGGCATGTCTTTGCTCTGTTGACTGCACTGAGTCAATCAAACGTTTGGCCTAAAAGCCTTGAGAAGCCCCATTTTGTGGGAGATTCCAACAGCACGTTCCTCCAAGCGCGAGGCTTTTTGGCTGAATGAACCTGTAGAAAATAGGCCAAGGGTTTCAAAAAATCACCTGCAGCAAAGCCCCATCACTGCAAGCAGGAGGGATAAATTCATCCCTAGTGTCCATCTTGCATTTCACTGATGGATTTTTCTTCACCCTCTGACCCTGTCAGAAAAACACTGGGGATCAGTTTGGCCCCATGCTTTGAAATGACTCATGAATGAGACAGTCTCCCTCCATGTAAATGAGACTTGGCAGGTCTGCGCTAAGTGCTTTAAAATTTTTGAGCCTGGAGGGACTGCAGGGCCCGAGGGAGCGCTAATGGGATGTAATCTAGCTTTCCACTATTGTGCTGTCGGTACCAAGTCTAGCCCAGGCCTCGAGCTGGCTGCTGCTCAGTGGCCTGTATGAAATGAGCTGTTGGTCTGATTCAAAAAAAGCGGCGGTCCAAAGCACAAGACTACCCAATGCTGATTGGCATTGCTGCAGGGAGCAGAGGCAACAGGGATTGAGCAGCATGGAAAATTAACCCCGTTCCTTTTAGGAGATGCTCCATCCTCACTGTTTAGTGTAGGGCACCATCAGCACAACTGCGATCGGGTCTAAAACCTTCTCCTATGGCTTCAGCAGGTTTGGATTGTACCCCCTGTGGAAGAAACTCACTCTGCCCTGCTGATCCCCTATCTGCTCTCTTCTGGTTTGTTTTTCCTCTCTCCTGGCTCCAGGGATGCCAGGCTTTGGTCTTACATCATTTTTTCATTTGCCCTATGTAGGGCACACTTCCAGCCACTGGTGGCTTGGCACACAGGCCAGGAGCACAACAGCATCCAGCTGTATTGCCTTCGCTCAGCGTTTTAGTTGGTGCCTCGTCAAACAGGTAGCGCCACAGTGTGCCCTAATTCGCAGTCTGAGTATGACTGGAAATAAACTGCAGGGCTTCTCTCTGTAACTGTCCTACAGATAGAGGAAAATCACTGCCTTGCAGAGCCAAGGGGCAGGATCTGTCTGTGCAGACTTGGGATTTGTACCTTTCCTAGACACCCACTGCAAGGACTCAGTATGTTGGGTTAGACAGATACTGGGCTTGCTCACAACAGCTGTTCCTGAGGGTTGTACAAGGTATGCATAACCCTACATATATGTAGGGTCACACAGCATATATACACCTGCAGGGGATAAATCACCAGGACAGGAGCAGTCTGAAGACTTGTCACCTCCACAGACCTGGCTTTGCAGCAAGACAGCAGTTCATGCTTAGGCTCCTTATTAAGATTCCTGTAGCAGGAAATCTCATTAGGTAAAAGCAGTGACTTCCTCTTCACCTAGAACTAACCTTCCAGAGCTATTTGGAGAACATGTTTCACAGACCTTGTTTCTGACCAGAAACGTCAGATCCAAGAAGCTAAAAGTGTGCTATCCTTCTCCTGGGGCTGATTTCAGGGAGGAGCTGCTGGAAATGAGAAGTATGTAACTGGCTGTAGCTTTAGTTTAAGAGGGTCAGTACTGTCTGCCTGATCTGCTCTGACATCTTGGCAGGTAGTTCAGCCTCTGCATTCAAATGAGTGAGTGCACACGCCCTGTTCTTGGGGTTGTTGTGGAAATAAGTTTGTGAGGCATTTGAGTACCTCTGAATGGTAATGACGGAGCCTATAAATACCCAAGAATATTAAATTATGATAATACTTCTGAGGGTGTTTTCAGTATGAGGGTCTCCCAGTGCTGTCTTCATTTGAAGTCTTAAATTAATCTTAAAAGTACAGTGTGCATTGGGGAGACATTTTACTTCCCTTATTATTCCATTGATGTGCAAACAGAGGCAGGGGATCGCTACGAACGTAACCTGAAGTGTCTTGCCCAGAGTCCCACAGCAAATCAGTGACAGAACTAAAAGCAAAGCTCCGTGTGGTAAGCATTCAGCCATCAGTTCAGCCTTAGTTCTTGTTAAAATTATTTCTGCTTCCTGAGGATGTGAAATAACACTGAAAATCCCATCATGGCAAGCGTTCCTTGTAGTCCCATCTTGTGTTTGTTCCAGTGGGAACAGATCACACCCTGGTACATGGACATCAATCAGCTTCTGATCTGTTAGTACTGCAATGATGTGCCCATCACCTGAACTGTATGACTAGGGCTGAGATTCTCTTCTGGCCTTGAGGAGGTGGAGAGGTGAATGCTCAGGTGAACTGGGGCTTCACCATCCTCTTGAGCAAAAGTCTTTGTGCGGCTGGAGAGCCTTGGCACAACATCCCAACGACTTTCTGGGTTCTGGGAAACAGAAATTGCAGGTCAGTGGCCCTGCAAGGCCCAGCTAATTGAAGCTCAGCAGCGCAGGACTTGCGAGATTTGGGCGATGGGCTGAGCTCTGAGCTCACTCCATCCATGACTGAGGAGCTCACATGAGGGTCAGCAAGCCAGAAGCTGATTTCCAGGTTGGAGATGAAATAGCAGTCATCTTTTGGGTGCCATGTTACAGACAGCAAGCTTCTTCCTGGTTGTCAGTTCCCTCCTTGTTAACACGGCTTGTTACCTGAAGCGAATTCAACAACCAATGCGTAAAACAGAGCTTAGTGCATAGCATTAGTTCAGAAGAGGCAGGAAGAAATTTTTCATGTGGACAGATGATTCCAAAATGGCTTAATGAAAAGTGTCCTTCTATTTTTTTATGAAGTGATTGGAGATGACCCCAGTCAGAAATGAGATAGGGGACTAGCGAGGCTTTGGGATTGTTCTGATGTGGCAGTTGCTATTTTAAGGTGATCCTGAGGCTGCGCTGGTCAGAAAAAGGACTGAAAAATTCTTGTGGCCACCCAAGCCACCCTCATATGTAGGGTTCATCTTCCTGTTGGTACTAGGGCTATAACTGAAGGGCCATCCCCAGCGACTTAGATCGATGTTCTTCATCCTCTTGTTCATGTTAAAAGCCTGTTAGATGCTGTCAGGAGAATGGACGGGAGATAGATGGCGAGCTGCTAATGGTGGGGTTTGTCTTGCAGAGGCAAGGCAGCCGCTAGGACTGAGTGAGCCCAGTCCTGCCAGCAGCCGCTGCGCTCCTTTAGTTGCTCAATGCTGTTAATTCTCTTGCACTGAGCGGTTTCTGCCTTTGTTAGCCCTGTGGGCATAACCACATCTGAGCTTACTGCTCAACAGAGAAGTTCTTGGGTTATCTCACCTGAACTTTCTGGGCATCTTCTTGTCTCAAATTCTTCCATAACCAGTGGGGAAAGGGCATGTTAGGAAGTCAGCTCATTCCCTCCTAAGGTAGTTTTATGCAGTATGCATGTCTGCTTTCTCCTGGAGGTGCCTAGATTGTTGACATTTGGTGGTGTACTATGGGTGACTCCTCGTCCTAGTGTGGCCAGTTACTGAGCTGGGGTTGGCTGTTGTTTCTTACTGGAGTGATGTTAATGTTCTGAAGAGCTCCCTCACAGTAGGGGCATTGCGTGCGGCTTGTTAGTCTGGACCATAACCTGGACATGTTTTGCTGCCAGTATTTTCTTCCAGCTTCTCATGACAGCCCGTTTAAGCCATGTCCTCACTGTGTCTTGGTCCAAAGCTCGTTGCAAATTTGGAAAGGCCCCTTCTGGCTTCCTTTAGATGCTAGAGACGGTCTTTAGCCTTTGGGCTTTGCAGTTTATTATGCTGGCGTTTCCGAAGGTTTCTTATTGTATGTGGTAACTCAGTGACTCCATACATAGTCTGTTTGGGAGGGAAAAATGTCCATGGCAAAGCACAGAAAGTAACAAACAACAGGAAGCGATGCCAGACTTGCACTGACTTAAGAATGTAAAAAGTGCAGCAGTGAATACCATGCCAGATTGCTTCTATTCTTGTAAAATAATCCAAGTTCGCTGTGGAGGCCTGTTTCCTGCCACAGCAAAAGGACTTGTTCTTTCCGTGAGCTTTAAAGAAGTGCTAGATCATTACTAACTCCTGTGTCCATGTCCAGTCCAAGATTCATGCTGCAAGAAGCCTGAGTGAGATTGCGATTGACCTGACCGAAACTGGAACACTCAAGACCTCAAAGCTGGCCAACATGGGGAGTAAAGGCAAAATTATCAGTGGCAGCAGCGGGAGTCTTCTGTCATCAGGTAGGTCCTTTCTCCTGTAACTGGAGAGAATATGGTGGGAAGGGCCATGGCCATGGTATAATGGGGGGCAGTCAGAAGCTGCACTGCAGAAATGAAAGTCACTTCCCTTTAGCCTTTCTGTCTGTCCAGGTGTCAGTCCATCTCTCAGCACGTTGTCGCACGAACAGCACAGGCAGCAGCTTCCCCCTCCCCTCTCTCATTACCGCTGCTCATTTCCTTTTTGGCCCCAGGATGTCATCTCCAGCCTCTCACTTTCCAGCTGAGACCTGGTCTCTCTTCACAGTTTCTACCATAACCATCCCTTGGCACGCAGCTCATTCCCAGGCAGATGCGTTTGTGAAGGAGCCCCCAGCCAGCAGTGAGGAAGCAGCCAGTGCAGCTCACTAGGGAAACGGAGGCTGGGAATTGGTGATGTCCCTTAGCAGTGTTAAGGCAGGGTGGCTTCTTCACAGAGCGCACATCTGCCTTGCTTGTCTGTTGCTGGAATTTGCCTGGTGTCACAAGCTCAAAAGAGCTATTCCCTAGCACTCTCTGCCACACTCGTGTGAGGGCCTGGAGGTTTCTTTTTGTGGCTTAAAGCACCTTCCTGTTACGAGGAAGACATAATCCATAAAAGAAACCCAAGGGTTGATACGGAGGAGAGCTAGAGCATCAGAAGAGAAGGACCAAGGAAGAGGAGTCTGGAACTCGTCTGCATTTCTTTGGAAGTCTTCTGTTAGTCTAAAAGAGGCAAGCTGTGTGTAAAACAGTGCTAAACATCACTCCAGGAGCAAAGCAAGGATTGATAGTTTGCAAAGAGCTTGAAGCTGTTCAGGTGAGAAGCTCTTCAGGAGGGCAAAGTTGCTGGTATCACTGTAATTAACAGTTCCAGACAATTAAATGACCTCTGTTAAGCATTACATCAAGTTATCAAAACCAATTGTGTTGAGATGTATAACACCAGAGAATAACCTTCCCATACTTGACAAGGGAAGAGTCCATCTATGAACGCAAATACTTTGAAACTGAACCCACACTGGTATAGATCAGCTTTGCATCGCTGCATCCTTCATGTCTCTTAAAAGCCATGCTTTCCTGCATGGAAAATGTCCAGTAAGGGGTTAAAATGTGCAATGCTTGCAGAGCTCCAGAGCAGCCTGCTGTGCAATTCCCCGCCTTGCCTGCAAACAGAGATGCCTTTCTGCTCCTTAGGCCCTCCCGGTGCAGTATACAATCCACTGTCTGTGCCTCCCATTGCTCAGGGAGTTGCAGTAGCTGAGCAGCTCCCAGACTGGTGTCAGGTTGTTGGAGCTCTTTGTTTGTTTGGCATTTTTTCCAGCTCTCCTGCCGGAAAGTAAATAATGTTAAGTACCACAAGGAAGTTCTTAAGGTCTTTCCAAGATTTCAGCCTCCTGGGCACCATTCCCAAATTTGTGAGAGCTACTTGGTAGTAATCTTGTTTTCATGTTAATACACTGACTTTTCGCCTTCCTGGAAAAAAAAAACCCATAGGGCTCTGCTTCTGCTCTCACACTGGGAGAGCAATAGCCAGGTGAAAGCCAGCAGAAAACCAGGCCCATAACAGTTTCTGTTGCGACAGCACCTATCAGGGTTATACGGATGGAAATCCCAAACTGGGAGCTGTCCATGCTTTTATTTCTGTATTTTTTTGCTCCCTGTTCAAATCCCTTCTGGCTGAGCATGGGATTTGCAGACTCAGCAGAATTGCGCTAGTGACTAGACCTGTGCAAAGTTCATTGACCAGGTGAATCATTTCCTCAGGTCTGGGTAGGTGGATCAGACTACCTGGGTGGCTACCTAGGACTGTGTGAACTCTGTTTCAGTCAAGGTGCTGCTGGTGGGCCAGGCAAGCATGGCTCCCTCCAGGTTCCTGTGTTCAGAGCTGCCTTGACATCCTACCAGCTATGAGGACAGGGCCCTCCCCAAAATGTGAAGGAGAGGTGTTGGGTTTGCTGCTGCTGCGTGCCTTCCAGCAGCTACAAGCCCACTTGTGGAGGGAGGGGAGTGTAGAGAGAGGACAGATCCCAGGGAACTGGAAACCCTGCATTTCTTCCACACAGTCACCGAGACCCCTCTGCTCTTT